CATCTTGTTGCTTCAGAGAGTAAAAGAAAAAATGCAGAGTAGGAGCTGGAATGGCGGAGAAAGAAGGGAAGCTATCTGAAGGCAGGAAGGAGACCACGGGGTTAGCATATGGGTGTATATACGTGCCGAATGCGATGCAGTATCATTGTGCTACGTGTTAAAGGGAAATATATTGAAAATTGGAGCTTAGATATGTAAAACTTTGGTTGGTTTCTTGGAGAATTGTTTCTGGAAAAGGGAATTTATAACCCAGTGTGCAAAAAAGTAGTTACTGAAAGTTGGATGGCAGGTGATCACGGACTGAGTGAAATAGCAGTGAGGGAGAGTTTGGAGAATGAACCCAGTGGGTTGATGATTCACTTCCATGAGGGCTAGGAGTCCAGTTATTGTTTTGTTTCTATTTTAAAGGTACTAATTAGAAGTCTTCATAATATAATTTTGAAAAATTGTTTCCCTTTTATAAATTCAGGTGACTGCTGAAGTTAAGGAAGAAACCCATCTATAAATGCTAGTGGTGGCGTTAGGAGGGACTGGGGACTGAAGTGTGACGGAAAGAATACACTGCTTCTGGCCAGTTCCCTAGATGGCTGGTATGCTGGTTATCTCAGAAACCAGGACCCTGTGGACAACGGTTGGGATTCTGATGAGCTGTGATCAAGGAGGTGTCTCCTCTGGAGTCTGAAATCTCTCCGCTTCCTGAAGTTGGTCGCATCCTTTCAACTTTCTTTAAAAACAGGAGTAGCACTGAGGATTTCTAATAGGTCGCCAGTCTACAGTTCTTGATGCTGAGGTGCTCAGGCTCGGTCTACTGGTCTTTCCTTGCAGATTATGTCGACTGTTTCTAGCCTTTCCTGAACTTTTCTCTCCTCCCGGATTCCAGATAGGAGCTCAGTGGAGGGCTTCAGTCTGTGCCCGGGGGTCATGGCCGGGGGTCAGAGTGGGAATGGGGGGTGTATCTTGTGACTGAACAGCAAAATTGAAAAGCAGAACACAAATAACTGCCCCACCTACTTTATGACTTTAGTGTAGTGCTTAGAATTAGACTACAGTTAGAATAATGCCGAGGCAGCAGACTCGGAACCTCTGTGGCCAAGCAGAGTCCTTAAATCTTCTCTCCTTTGTTGTCCTTTAAGTGTGGGGAGGACCCTTATTTCAGCAGTAGCCTCTCATGACCATTGCCTCCCCTCCCCCATGGTCCTCAGCATCCTTGGTGCTGTGGGGTATATGACGGTGATGCTGTGGCTAATGATGGCAGTCTAGCCCAGCGGTTTTCAACTGGTGTGCCACAGGAATTTTTAAAACATGCAGCATCTGACTCTTTAGTCAGGGGCACTGACCTCTTATTCCCTTAGATTGTCAAAAAAAAAAAAAGACACAGCCAACATCAATAGCCATCCAGTGTGAATGAATCAAAATTGTACTTTTTTTTTTTTGTCAGATTTTGGTGTGGCACAGGATTTTAGTAATTGGTTTATGGGTGCTATGAGATGAAAAGGGGTGACATCGCTGGTCTAGCCGGATGGTGAAGAGCCTGAGTTCTGGAGTCAGACGGACTCGGACCCCAGTTCTACCAAGTAACTGGACCGTGGCTTCGTTTCTTATGCTCTAAAGCGTCACTTACCTAAGCCTCTGCTTCCTCGTTCTTGAAGCTGGGATGAAAATCATACAACTTTTGTGTTCTTTAAATGACTTAATGCATGTAAAGCACCTAATGAAGTCCTTGGCATACAATAAATATTTGTATTGCTAAATTATATGGTAAATATACTTGTATTAATATGAAATTTGAGCATTTTGGTTAGAAGAGGTTATTCAGTGTGCCCTCATTCCCCCTTTGATAGTCAAAATTCACTTTATTTTATAATTACATATAAGCTGTATTAAATAATTTTATTCTTTTATGAGGATATAGTAATTAAAACATATCAAAACATTACTATCTTAGAAATGACTCTATGATATAGTCCAGGAATTAATGAAATATGAACCTCTGAGTATCTCACTATGCATATTTAATATTTAAATTGCTAAATAATGCAGTCTTAGGTTTCTTCCGTATTTGAGTAAAGCCACTTTGCTGTCTCACTTTTTTTTTATCCTCACCCGAGGACATTTTCCATTTTTTGTTCAGGTAGAGTGGGAGGGAGAGAGAGGAACAGAGAGAGAGAGAAACATCGACGTGAAAGGGACACATTAAGTAGCTGACATCCGCACGACCGACCAGGGCCAGGGACAAACTGCAGCCGAGGTACGTGCCCTTAGCCGGAACTGAACCCAGGTCTCTCTGGTCCACAGGCCGACGCTCTAACCACTGAGTCAAACCGGCCAGGGCTGCTGCCTCCCTTTTAACCTTCATTAATGTCCAGAGATTACCCGAAATTTGAAAACATTTCCCCCTCGGGGGATCAAGGAGGTCATGCAGAGAAGGCTGTGATTGCCTCCCCCTCCCCTTCCCCCTAGAAGGCATCCCATAATTGTACAGTGCAGTCTGGACACTCACAGACCAGACTCCAACCTGGAATTTGATGGAGAATAAATAGCTGACTTTGCCTGTGGTTTAAACTTCATACTATACTTTCATTTTACATTTTTTTCCACCCAGACACTAGAGAAAGCTATTATACATGAATGAACATTTAAATACACTCCTTCTGCATACTGACATGTTAAAAAATGGACAGAATACAGGGTTCAACTTGATTTTTCAGAGTTTTCACGTGAAATTTTGTGTACTGCACTTTCGTCGTATGCGCACCAGGACTGATGGGATTTCCTGGTCCTGCAGTCAGAGATCCATGGGGTCTGAATCCAGCTCTGCCGTTTACTGTGACCCAGGGGACAGTCCTCGGCTCTGTTCATCTCAGTTTGCATCCATGATGTGAGGATAATAACACCGCCTATGTAGGCAGGTTGGATGTTAGGATTAAATAGGATAATGCCCGTGAGACAGTTCGCATAGTGCTTGGCATACGGTGAACTGAACAAATTTGTATCCATAATTATTGTTGTCGTTAAACGCCTGCAAATCACAGTTCGAGGGACACAATTTACAAAAGTGGATGATAGCGGCAGGGACTACTTGAGGATTAGAGCTGGAGAGAGGTGAACATAAGCACCGTGTACCTGTCCTCTTGAAATGTTCTAATAGCGTTTCACCGGTCAGGCGGATTATGTTCTAGTTGAACGAAATGGCAGAGCACAGGAGGAGCGTGGTGCCTTCGCTGTCCTCTGTAATCCTGGGGGGAGAGCGCTCTGCTCTGGTTCTCTGGCTGCCTGCGTCTGTTGATGGGAGCGATGACACGTTGAAACTGGAAGAAACTATTTTCTCTTGGTTACCAGGAGGACTCTCCTTTGGATCTAGAAATATATTATGTTACGAATTTAGTGACTAGAGTGCATAGACTATGTTTGGACCAGAGAAAAAGGAAAACACGTTTGAGTTTATCTCACAGTGGTCTCTGCTGCATGGCGCTACCACTTAGCTCGATTTATTTAGGAGTTCTGAGTAGTGTTCCAGGTCCACTTACAGATTTAAATATTTGCCCGTTTGAGGTAATTAATAGCAAAATCTCATTTATTTTGCATATCGGATAATATCTAACACTCCCGAAAGGGGTTACAACTTAAAAATAAGTAAACTTAGCTAAATATTAAAATGTGAAATAAATGATCATAAAGTGAATATTTATTGCTATTCAGAAGCATTATAACTTCTGTCTCTTCATTAATTCCTGACAAACTTTCAAAACAGAATTGCATTAAATGGGAAATTTCCATGATTCAAGAGTTGTAGAATTTCTATAGTCCAACCAGGACCATGGTGTTGAACCCTAAAAGTAGCACTGGTTCGGAATGGTTAATGCACAATGAAAACTGCAGTGATGTATTTGGGGAAAGCCAGAGGACATGATTACGGCATTGAGTTTTTCTAAGAGAAATGGATCTTTTCTCTGTTCATCATCCTGAGAAGAGGTTAATCCTGGGATCAAGTGAGGTTTCGACTAATTTCAGTGGCCACGCTGAAACAATACCCTCTGACCCTCGTCTGTGTAATTATATAGCTCCGTCTTTTACTAGTCGGCTTAATGAGATATGTGTCCAAATTTGGGTCTTAATTGAGGACTTTTCTGTACCAACTCCAGTTAAGGAATCTCTTCATTTTTGTTCATTTAGGGAATAGTTATTGAGCTTTGGGTAAGGTGCTGGGTGTACTAATATCTGAGAAACGTGGCCTCTGTCCTTTTGAAGCTTACGGTGTAAGTGGGAGAAGGTATACGTTTAGCACACTGTTTGTCTTGCCATTTGCTTAAAGTGATTAAAAGCAATGAAAGGTTTCAGTACACAAGAGATCTGAGCAGTCCCTTATTCTTCGAAAGGCTGTGTGTGCTCTGTGTCTCTCAGCCACCGTGTAGGGTGCAGGGTGTGTCTACCAAACTAAGACGTGCAGGGGAGTGTTGCTCCAGCCTCTTCCTCCAAACTGCAGTGGGGGGGTCACATGAGTGCATCGTGGGGAGCAGGGGTGCTAGACTGTGGGGACTCAGGCTTGGGCCATGTCTCTGGCTCCCTGATTAAATCTAGAAAAGTCAACAAATCTTAACCAATCATGAATTTCATCCATGGAAAAGCAAAGTGTAGGGCCATTAGATAACCTCTCAGTTCCCGCCAGTGTCATGGGGTTGTTTTGAGACTTAAATGAGCTAACATTTGTAAAGTGCTTTACCTAGTACCTGGCACCCAATACTAATAATGACAAATTCTTTGCTAGCCAGTGTTTTGTACGAAGTCCTGTTCTAATCTTTATGTGTGTGTGCGTTCATTCAGTCCCCCTCGGAGGGACGTACCTCATCATCTCCATGATATCCGAGAGGAAACTGAGGCTTTAGAGCTTCGACCCATGAGCCCTCAGACATCAGAGCCGTGACCGAGGTTGACCCTTTCCCAGGGTGGCAGTCTTCCTTGTTGCTGACAAGCTGTTTCGTGTTTTCCTTCTTTCTCTCCAGGTGTCATAGAGACGTCGGACCGGCTGGACCGCGAGTCGGCCTCCCATTACTGGCTGACGGTCTACGCCGCCGACCAGGGCGTAGTGCCTCTCTCGTCGTTCGTGCAGGTCTACGTGGAGGTGGAGGACGTCAACGACAACGCCCCGCGGACCTCGGAGCCCGTCTACTACCCGGAGGTCGTGGAGAATTCCCCCAAGGACGTGTCTGTGGTCCAGGTCGAGGCATTTGACCCTGATTCCAGCTCTAATGACAAGCTGACGTACAAGGTCACGAGTGGGAATCCACAAGGGTTCTTTGCAATCCACCCAAAAACAGGTATGTGTTAGCACTGCCGCGTGAACAGCTCTTGTTTATACTCTCCTGATGGGGGCACATGCAAGCATGCACGTCCCGCTGTTCTTTAGTGTGTAACACGTTGGTTTCCTTGTGAGTTATCCAAGACAAGTGTATTGCCAGATGAAAAATTACTCCAGATATGTTTTTCCTTTGAATTTGCTTTTGTAAAGTTCCTTTATGATTTTGCTCATGAGTTTTCACTTGCAGGTTAAAAAGAAAATATTGTTTCAGTAATAACTCCTAAGTGAGTGATATATCTTAAACTTCCTGCAAAACCTACTGCTGCTAAGTATCCCAATTTCCTTAACTACTTTTTATGAAGAATAGCAAAGGCATTTATTTCACGATTCACAGTGGGTTTGTTGTTGTTGTTCTGTTGTGTGGAATTTTTTCCACAGCACAGTGCTGAGTCTCTGCAGGCCGTAGGATCAGGGTGAGACTGTTTGCAGGCTGCAGACTTTCTTAAATGGTATCTCGAGTTGCCCTCCCATCTTCTCTCCGTGTCTGACCCCTGCTTCGAAGCAGAAAGCTCCTTGGCTCCAGACTCCGCTTCCAAGGTCCTCGCCAACTTCTAATCTTTGTTCTCTTACATTGAACAGCGCATCTACTCTCTTCTTAGTCCTTGGTTTGTTTGTTTTATTATTTCGCCTAAAAAAGAGGTTCAGCCTGGCTGGCGCTGGTGTCCTGGCAGCTGGCTGTCATTTGTGTCATTTATGCTTTGGAACCTTCACAGGCAGAGTCCCACGCTCCGGCTGCGTGATGGGAGCGAAACCAGAACCGCCATGAGGGGACAGTTTATCTGCAGGAAAATGAAACTTCTCATCAAATAGACCACTGGCCTGTGAGCCCAGACGGGTCAGTGATTCAGTACTTTCCTGTAGAATCTAATTATGAATTCTGAAGAAGGAGATGTACTGTAATTTGCATATCTCTGTCATGTTTTTGCTTATTATGGCTTTCCTTATTCCAGGGGAGCTGGCCTGTTCAGGGACTGGGTTGTCTGACACGTGTGTCAAGGAAATAATACACAAAACCCAGAATTAAAGAGGCTTTCTCAGCTTCCTTAGCAATCTTTGTCGTCCCTTTTATGTACCATTTTTATTTCATAATTCCCTTTGTTGAACTTAAAAGGAAGCAATCCTTACAGTGGAAAGAAGGTTGAGTTCAGCATTTGCATACTCAGATGTCTGTAGAAAGATACCTGACAGAGAGAGACTCTGTGTGTGTGTGGGGGGAGATTTTGTCTCTTAAAAGGCATGTTAAAATGTTAGTGTTGAACCTCTTGTCAGCAGTCACAGAGACTGTCTTTCTTGAGAGTTAAAAGCGAACATAAGTTCAAGGTGGGTTTCGAACGTGTCAGGGTTTACCTTTGTTTTGAGGAAGCAGCAATGTCCCCTGTTTGGCCACATTCTGAGGGAGCACAGGAGGGAGTTCGGAGTCGTAGAAAACCAGCAGTTGGTTATTAAGAAGGATTGAGCCATATAAGGATTTAATTATAGGGGAGAGAAATGAGATCCGAGAGGCCTTTCTTTTGGAAGCATTAGGGGAATGACACAGGACCCCAAGCTTCAGAAAAGGGCTGGAATGAAGCGATTACTCGGGAACAGGAAGCCTTGACACAGCCTCTCGAGGTGATCCGTCGCAGCGCCGTGCGGACTCTGCTGCACCAGTGGGAACTGCCTTCAGTCTTCTCGTCACGTCCACCGAAAGGAAACTAAGGGCCAAGAGAGCAGACAGCGCTAGCGATGTAACAGAAGAAGTTAGGGGTGTATATGATTTTTGAAGGAGGATATTTGCCTCACAGTGAGGGGTGTGTGTGGCCTGGAGAAGTCTGGAGGTCAAGCCCTGAGAGGTAATTCAAGAGCTTGAACGTAACTGCCCCCTTTAAAAAACTGTTTGGAGAATTAGGCTTGCAAACGTTTTCGTTTTTCTTACGTTGTCTTTTAGATTAGGTTAACTTCCCTGTTGAAGAGACAGACAGGGACGTCGTAAATGGCCTTTTGAGTGTCCGAGCGCAGATAGGTCTGGACGTGCGTGTTTGAGAACCAGAGAGGAAAGACACTAAGGAAATTCTGTGTTAGAGCTGCTGTGGGGCCCGAAACCTTGGCGGTCCCTGGGCGCTGAGACAGTGGTATCACTGCGGTGGTTATGAAACGTGATTGGTGTGGCATCGCCATCTCCTGTCAGTCCCTGTCCTGACAGCTCTTAGGAAGAGGTGTCTGCCCCGGCCTCTTCCCATGGTCCCGGAGAGTAAGTCCCCAGAGCCCCGGGCTGAAGCGCAGGCGCCCTGCTACCAGGACAGCAGGAGATGGAGGGTCACAGAGCGTTGGTTTCCCCTGGGTGGAAGGCAGATGACAGTGGGAATAACTACAGTTGGTACACAGGGGTATTTGTTGTGAAGTGTGGTGTAGACCGGACGGTTAGTAAGGAAGACTGATCACTCCTTGAGTCACCTAAGGTCTCTTCAGGTCGAGAAGTAACCATACGTTGACATGCGCATCTTTAAAGGATATGGTAGCCCGGCCGGTGTGGCTCAGTGGTGGAGCGTCGACCCCTGCACCAAGAGGTCGCAGGTTTGATTCCTGGTCAGGGCACATGCCCAGGTTGTGGGCATGATCCCCAGTGGGGTCGTGCAGGAGGTAGCCAGTCGATATTCTCTCTCATCTACATTTCTCTCTCTCTCTCTCTCTCTCTCTCTAATATCAATAAAGAAAAAAAAAATTAAAAAAAAAAGAATATGATAAACATAGAGCTTCACCAGGTCTGTCTGTCTCTAGATGACTTTATTCTCTCAACTCAGCAAAAAATCCGGGCATGACCCTTGGGCAACATGCAATGCTTCCAAGTGCACTTCTTCCTCAGAACCTGCAGAGCAGACTGATTTTAGTGGTGGTGGGTCACTGCGAGGGGAGGCCAGATTGGGGAAGCCGATGAGTGACAGTCTGATGGAGAAGGTTCCCGCGATTCACGACCCAGAACCCCACCTGGAGATCCTGAGTCATGTTCCTTAATCATTGCTGGCTGAGTGAGAAAGTTACTGGGCTGGAAACCAAGAGGTCTGGGCGATGGTGAGGTCCACCTCCGGAGCCTGGGAACACTGGCCTCCAGGCCCTGGCACTGTGCACGCGGGTGGGTGAGGCCCGGTGTGCAGAGCAGGGCGCACAGGAGCCCGCCGGGGCAGGGCCGCAGCGCCCTCACTCGCACACGTTTGCTCTGTTGACTGTGCGGAGGATCGCGTACTTGTGCGTTGGATAAACAGCTTTGGTGAAGTGAAATTGCTCTTCACTGGTGCAGGTCAACGGAGGACCCTGGGGCTTGGCCGGCAGGCTGGAGAGAGGCTGCGTGTTGGTTTATGCGTGGAGTGTGTACTGAGCCCCGCCCTGGGCAGTGTGTTTGTTAAGAGATGCTCTGAAGTTGTCGGTCTGTGTGGGCGAAGGAGCGGAGCGAAGCGGGCGGCTGTGCACCCCTCTGCAGGAAGCGGGGCGCGGGGCGCGCGTCACGGTGGGGGCACGTGGAAGGGGCGCTGAGTTACAGACCAAGGGATGACGTTAGAGGAACATACGGGAGATGGCTACTCTCCGTGGGGAAGCTGAACTACCAGAGCAAGGGTTAAAGGGGCATATTTATGCGATTTTTATAAACTGACCTATTTTCGAGAGTCTCCATGCAACCCCTTGGAACATTTTGTGTAAACATAAATCCAGTGGCCGCACGAAGTCATTTTGGAGAGGAGAGAAACATTTCCACAGTCCCCTTTTCTCCTTTTGTCATAACGTGGCAAAGTAGTAAAACAAAACCAGAACATCTTCCTAGGACTGGCTTTAATCATCTGAATTTTGGGTTCATTCTAAGTTTGAATGAACATTTTTGAATTTTTTTTTTTCATCTCTTAGCCAAAGTTTTTGTGCTTGATTGTAGTACCAGGAACTGTCTTTCTTTATCTCAGATGGTTCTTATTATATTGTTTATAAGTAAGGTGGTGGGGTGTTTTTTTTCCCCAGGGTGTATAGTCAAAAGGGACTTGATCCATTTCTCTTTCCTGATACACACACAGAATTTTGTTGACACCAGAATTTTTTATAACCTTTCTCTGTTTGATTTTGTCCAATATCAGTTAGGGTGAATTTGCCTCTTTTAATATAAATTGTGCAGTTGCTCAGGGTGGGAGACAGATAAGAGTGTAGAAGGTTAGATTGTCTGAGCCTCCACCGCCCCAGCCCCTGCAGACAAACGGGCACAGCTTCCTTCGTGGTATGTCAAGGTCGGCGAAGGAGGGGCGTCCCGAACAATGGGGACCAGTGTGCTTCCCGAGTTGCATTGTCCACCAGTAACCTCAGGGAACTGAAATGACCCCCGAAAAGCGTCGTCTTAGCCGGTGTTTTCAATGTGAACGTTTGAGGAGTGATCTGCAACTTATAATGGGCAGTTTTGAAGTGTTACTTCAGAAAAGACCATTGTTTTATTCTCTTATCTGTATGTTTGGTCTTTTCCATGTTTAGGACAGAAAGCAAGTATGTTTTTCATTTTTGCAAAGTTTTATTGGAGTATACTTGACCCACAGTAAATTGCACGTTTGAAGTCTGCAGTTTGATACGTGTCGACATAGCTGTAAAGCTGTGACACTGTTACCACGGCCCGGCAGCAAACATGCTCACCGGTCCCTTCTCTCTGCCGTCCCCAGGCCACCTCGATCTGCCTTCTGTCCCCGTGTGTGCTGCATTTTCTAAAAGTGTAGATGGATGGACACACACGGCGTGGACGCTCGTGACCGGGCTTCTCGCACTCGGGTGTTTGCTCTGAGACTCAGGTTGCACGCCGGTGGTGGTGAGGACCGTGGCCGGAGGCTCCCTGCCCTGCTGGGTCTCGTGTAGAGGTTCTGCAGTCGGATCACGCAGCTACCTGTTGATGGGCATTAGTGCTGCGGCCAGTGTGGCTGTTACAGATAAAGCTGCCGTGAGCATTTGAGGGGCGTCTCTGTG